GAGTGAAGGAGGACATGCTGATTCATCATGCCGGACTCCATGGAAGGCAACCCATGGCGCCTGTAGATATAAACAACTCATTCTAACAAAAACATAACATTTCCTATATTCAGGTGATTGTACACTAATGAAAACATACCTATGAATATTATATATAATTTCTGCCAATAGATCCTCCTAAATGTTACACACTGGACCTTTAAGTAGGAGTAACTGTTAAGTGTTCAGAGTGAATTAAGACTCTTGAAAATAAAAAGCACGTCTGACCAAGCCTTTTAAGGTGCTCAGCTGCATTCACATTAGCAAATGTATGCCTTTAGAATAATTTTAATACTTATAAGGATATTTTACTGCGTATATTTAAAGCTGAGTGTTGTAGGAGTGTAAATAGTATATATTTATTTCTCTAAGATGCTGCTGAGACTGCTTTCATTTGTCACTGTTTACTCTGCAACTTATGAGTCATGTTTTCCTTTTATCACCAGATGTCATAGATTGTTATTTCAGAAACAGAGATGTTTGAAACGTTTTGATGTTCCTTTTTAAATAACAAATCACAAAGTAGCATTTGAGAAGTCTAAGAGAAAAACACCGATTGACCTAATGTCTTTGTGCAATCAGTCCAAGACTGATAATAATTAACGATTAGAGATTTAAAAGACCTATTCAAATTTTACTATTAAGGTATCACAGAAACACCAAAATGGAGGAACACAGACTTCACAGAAAATCCTGAGAACTCTTTTGATCGCCTCTCCCTCTGTTTCACACATTAACACAGTTCAGTTTGCGACTGTGTGAAACTAGCCAATCCTAGCTGTTAGTTAGAAACAGTGTTCGGGGAAAAGGTTATCTGGAATGAGAGAGCCAAAGAAGGAGACAAAGATGGAGACAGAGATAGACAGATGAGACTGGCAATCTGTGTTGTGCTCGTGCTTTTTCTAAAATGCCATGTTGTACGCGTGTGTGTGTGTGTGTGTGTGTGTGTGTGTGTGTGTGTGTGTGTGTGTGTGTGTGTGTGTGTGTGTGTGTGTGTGTATGTAAGGACATATGTGTTTACGATTGCCTGCTTGCATGACTTTGTTTAGTGTGTGTGCCCATGACACTTGTATTTTTCACATGTTTTCCTGCACACATGTATCTTTTTAACCCTCTAATACTCTGGCCTTGGTGTGAAGGATGGTGTATAATTATAAATTCGTAGTCATTATAATTATACATTATTAATTTCCTAATTATGAAGCATCTGACACAATGATATATGTTTCACTATAAAAAGAAGTTCCTCATGTGTGCTGAAACAAAGGTGAATGTACACAAATGTCAATTAATTAGGTACAAAAGTTGCTGTCCTAGACTCTTTTTTTTAAACACACTGGTGCTCTGAATATACCTCTGGCAAGAACTCTACTGTGATTTTTTTACTTTAGTCTTCTAAAATACAGTAGAACACTTTAACTGGGACAAAATCTGGTAAAAATCATGTCATATGCATTGGTTCTAAATTAAACTAGGGCGCACTGTGACACTGCAGCCTCTCAGGTGGCTACCGTAGATTATTTTTACACCCACAGAGTCGTTTTCTGGAGTGCCAGGACAAATTCTCTTCTCCTCGCCCCTCCCTCAAATCCTCTTTTTCTTATTCCCCTCCTCCCCTCTTTCTCTACCACCCTCCTCCTCAAACTCTTCCCTCATTTTTCCACTCTCACCTCCATCTCTTGCTCTCCTGTGTTCGTTTTCTCCTCTCTTAGTGAGTGATCCAACTTAACGTGAAGGCATTACTTTTGTATGCACCTCAACTATCGCTTCCACAGTTTCCGCTAAAGCCTTTCTCCCTTACCCCTCGCTCCTCAATCTGTCTTATAGAAAAGTAGAACAATATCCTATTCTGAGCACAGAAACTACTTCCTCATATTCAGCTTTTCCTCATGCAATATGCCCTCTCCATCTTTATGTTGTTTCTTTTCCGTGCTTCCAGCTCTGACAAAAGGTTAGCCTTTGCCTCCTACCTTCTTACTCATTCTCTTCTCTCTATATATACACATTTCTCTTTTTCCGCTACCTGTTTCCATCCGCTGCCTAACCTCAATTCCTCCAACTCTTGCTGCTTTCTTGGTGCTCTTTGTGTCATTCTCTATGCCGTTGTGACTCCCACAGTGTCCCTCCCTTTGAGAAACCGCAGTCCAAGCCTGGTTAGGTCAGGAGGGGTTCAGGATAATTAGGATGAATCGCTCATCGGAAAACGTACTTTAAAGAAAAGTAGTATTCTAACAATTGACAACTGGAATAAAAGCCAACAGATTTTCTTTCAATCATCATCCATTAGCAAGAATTTTGTCCAGATTTTCTTAACACTTGGATGCCAGCTAGTGCTTGTTTTTCAATGAAATGAACATTTTAATTATCTGGTGAATCATTTTCTTTATATCTAACAATGAAGGAAAAAAAAAAATCAGAAATTTCAAATTTTCTTCCACCCTAACCAGGTATCATACAACATTTTGTCTCTATTTGTATCTATATGTACTTAGTAGATGTGCATTAATTAAATACAGACATTGAAACTATACGTGATATGGCCAAAAGCTCTTTCAATAACCAAGTAAGTGAACCTTGCTTTTAGAATATCCTGATTACAGATACTGTATGCATTCCCCAAAGTCGAGAATGAACATCCACGCTCATTTCAAACTGTTTATGTATGACTACAATACCTTGTAACACAAACATTAGTTTACGACAACGCTGTATATTTTATCTACAGAGAGAAATTTACACCTTGTCTTGTTATTGAATGATTTATTGGTTGCTTTATATTTGTGGTATGTACTGTTGAATCAGACATCTGCCCTCATTTTCTCTAACCTCTCCTGATCCTACTCTCCCTGTATGTCCATCCGTTCATTCCTTCTTGAGAGAGTTTGAGTCAGAGCTGCGGTCTCCATGCTGTGTCCCACCCTACATTTTTAATTTTTCCTTATCTTCCAGCTGCTACTGATACTCCATGTAGGTCAATAAAGAGGGCACACATTCACACAAACACCCACTCTCTCACACACACACAACCACAAACAAATGCACGTAAAAGACACAGTGACAAATTGTACCAACAAAAAATACTGTACATAGTCTTATGTACAAAACACACACACACACACACACACACACACACACACACACACACACACACACACACACACACACACACACACACACACACACACACACACACACACACACACACACACACACACACACCAGCTATGAACAGCAGAACATTCAATAAACTGCATGGGCAATATTTGTTGGCGCTGTGTCTCAGATTAATGGGACATTAGTTTGTAGTTTGTTGTGTTTTACTGGACGATATTTTAAGGAAAGGGAGGGGGCAAAATATTAGACCAGAACTTTCAATGCAGATCAATAAAACAGCACCATATGATTTAAAAAGGTACCACAGAGTTGAAGAGTCCCGTCCCTTCTGCTCCTCTCTCCTCTAACAGTCTAACAAGAACTCTGCTGCCACCCAACTAAATCCCAGAGAAAAGCCTGACAGAAGCCTTCCCTTGGTAAACTTAAACCCTGCTCACAGTCACACACGCACACACACACGCACTCCCTGCAGAGATTAATCAGTCTCATCTAGATCGCATAGCTCTGATGCACTAGGTTGACAGAGGGGTCTGGGACCTGTCAAGGCAAGCAAAGCACTTTGCCCCTCTCTCGTTCAATTTATCGCTTTTTATCACTCTTTTTGCAACTCTTTTCTTTGTATTTCCCTCTCCTTGTCCCTCCCTGCCATGCTCCTCTGCTTTCTTTCTTCCTGTTTGATCTCTTTACGATTCATTAGAAGCTGGTGTGGGAAAAAAAGGCTGTTAATTGTTCTGATAAGGGTAAAACTGAAGGAGACACATGGATCAAAGGAAGACTCAGTTTTAAATTTTTGATCACAGACAGGCTGCTGTGTTCTTTTAATTGAACTAGCTGGAAGCAGTGTAGTTGGGGGTTGTGTGAGTAAATGTTGCCCAGCGTATAGTTTGATTTGCAGCGACAACAGAGCTCGGCAAGAGTACTGCATATGTATAAAATGTTGGTATAAACTGTATTTTACTGTAACATTTAAAGCTGGGCAGACACTGTGAAGGTGTATTAATATTTTACAGTGTGTAAACCAACACTTCCTGTTTTAATCAGCACTTCGGCAGGGCCAGAACCTTCAGCTTTTATGCCCACACGGTAAGGATAAAACAACCAGCTGCGACATGGCTGCGCACACTGAACGTAAACACGGAACCCACCTTGACAGCTCTGTCTAATGAAAGTTTATTCAAGACAACCGCAGCCTCAACAATATTGACAAAAAGAGAGAAAAGGCTGCGTTTGTTTGTGCAATTCTACTATGAATGGAAAGTAAGAAGAAAAAAAGGCTAATATAGACCCACAGATGGCTGGAAGATGCATAAAATATGGGCTGTCTGTTCTGTTCAGTTTTATTTCACAGCAGTCTCAAGATGACACTTTTAGCTCCAACATGTAAACTACTACTGCAATAACATTAAAACAAGCTCACTAAAGTTTGTAACAGATCTTTTGACAGCAGCCATGAGGGAAATCGGAATGTGGAACTGCTCAAGCTGCAAGACGGCCAACCAAAATTTCTGACGTGCCAGATATCCATCTACTTGTCCGAGAGCCGGATTGTTGATCATTTAGACAATAAATCTGGCAGTAATTGGGCCTAATTCTAAAATTAGTGGGCGAGCAATTCAGGACTCACATCAGGCTTACTCCGTACAATGTCTGCCTGGCTTTAATGGTGGATTTAAACACTGTTACTTGACAGACTTGAGAAAAAATTGTTGACAGATGGCAATGATATTCGGTCCAAGACACTCACTAACCACTTAGTAAACATCTCTCTTTTTGTCTCAAACCCAAACACACAAAGTCAGTATTGTGCGCATGCATAAAGCTACAAAAAATGGTCTGCTTTAGGTTACCTTAAATGGAAGGGACTTCTCACTGCAAGGGCTAATGGGTAGTGATTGGAGGCTGCTGGCAGGACTCGTCTCTGTGCTCTGCAAAAGACAAAAACATAAGTATAAAAATTACATCAAGATGAGAATTGTGCTTGTAAGTGCTGCTGATAAGCTAGTGGTGTACACAGAATATTTTTTTCAGTCTACTCACATGTTTATAATCAAATTATGGCAGCTTGGCTTTTAATTCTTGTAATTTCATTTAGTTGCGAAGCAATATTGGCAAAAACATTACAAATAGAAACTGCGGCATCCTAAACCTTAGTGTAATAGTAATTCTTCTTTACAGAATATCTGCCGGGGAATATTAAATCTAGTTTCTTAATCTAGGCTTGAAGCAACATTGGTTCACAAAAAAGTATAATTGGATAATTGGTTTCAGAGAACTTGTCTGTATAAATACAACTCTATATTTTAACTTTTCTTTTTAAGCAGGTCTCTTACATAATCCCTCTGTTTTCTAAAGCCAGCTGTGATCTGACACATTTTGGCTCAACTTATCGACACAGGTGTCTAGCGAGCAGAGAGCAGGGGCAGCTAGAGGGGGCTCACACACACACACACACACACACACACACACACACACACACACACACACACACACACACACACACACACACACACACACACACACACACACACACACACACACACACACACACACACACACACACACACACACACACACACACACACACACACACACACACACACACACACACACACACACACGTTCATGTGACAAAGGGTTGCACGTGCTGTCACATGCAAGACGCACACAAACACACACTCTTTAAAAAGAGCAGATGCTGGTCTTAATGTCACCTGTGATGGCTTATGATAGGACAGATGGGAAAGCGGGAAAAGATAAAGTCATGTCTCTGCCAGGACTGCTGATACTGATGTAATAATGCATGGGAAAGACATGACACGACACACAAGGAGGATATGACAGGGGACATGACAAAGACACGACAAGGAAAAGTGAAGTATGAACTAACTACATGTTCCACACACTCGGTTTTCTGATAAGGTCTATTTCTTGCCATCTGCTGCCCTCTTGCAGATTTATATGCAAGCCAACCGTTCTGTTGTGTGAGAGAAATGACCGTGCTTACAACCAAGACACCCTAAAAAGCTGCTTTTTAGGCAAAAACTCTGATTGTGTTTATTTTTGGCCTATATTCAGGTTTTGAAGGTAGCTCCGAGAAACATCAGAGCCCAAATCTTTGCACAGCATAAACTTGTTGGTTTATTGGTTTGGCTGACCTTTTAAAGAAGCATACCTCCCTATCAGAATTATAGGTGTGCTATGGCGTCAGGCCCTCAATGTGTCATCGGTGATCAATGCCTTTCCCTATGTAGAGAGACAGGTGCACACTCACTGACACCCAAACACACTCTCTCTCTCTCTCTCTCTCTCTCTCTCTGACACATACACATTCTCTTTAAGGTCACCCCTGTCCCACAGGCCTTAACACACAACTGTCCCCACAATTAGATGTGGTTCAGTAAAAAGCCTTTTAGATTTAAGAATGGAGGAAGCTGCCTGGGAGCTCTGGATTTAATGACTTGCACTACCCAGAAGCTAAATGTCTAAAGATGATGAATGGCCTGAGAAAGGAAAGCAGGTTTTGTAGTTTGATAAAGCCCCTTTAATCACATTCACACATCAGCTAAATCAAGAAATGAAATAACTCAAGGTGCATTCATGCCCACTCCCTCTCTCATTGACATTTGGCTTTTTAAAGATAAACAGCACATTAACAACACACTGTCATGCAATTTTGTGAGTTATTTGGCAAACACGTTGTGGTTGCTTTCAATGTGAAACATCAGCTCTGCTCAGGTATTGCTGAGTTTTTTCTTTGTTTCTTTTTTAACTCTGGGCTTTGAGGGTTCTTGTGTTAAACTAAAACGCGTTCCAGAAATGTAATGAACAACAGCACTTTGAAATACATTTATCACATCCACAGCTACCCTTGTAACAACACTAAGCTGCTGAAAAGATTTAGTAGAGACAGAAAGTATAAGCTGCTGCCACAAGTCAAGCAGCTGCCTCGGGGTAAGAGTCGCTGGGACGGACAGAGGTGCAGCGGAGGCACAAGCTAACTGGGCCTGGCGGTGCATGTGCGGATATTGCACAACCATGCCCACGAAGACTCTGTGTTATATGCTATAACAAATGGGACCGTCACAGTTTTGCTAGAATCCATGGCTGACATTGACAAATGGGGATCATTGTGTTATGCAACATTAATGCACACATGGACAGTGGTATTTTGGAAATGTTCCTCCATGCAACCAAGAGGATAAACTACTGAGAGAGAAATAAATCAAGGATGGATGGAGTCTCAACAGCTGGCTTAAACATGCTCATTTGACAAATATGATGCACAATAAACAGGAAATTATAAGGCGTGGTTTACTATCTGGCCTGTTGGTCATACATGTCATGTGTAATGACAAACATTCTCCTATGTTTTGTGTTGGACACTCGTGCTTATGTAATTTACTGGGGCTTTGTTAAGACTTTATTGTGGACGACAGAGAGAGACATGATAGTACATGAGGGAGAGAGAGATGCATCAAAGGCCAGACTTGAACTGGGGACATTGCGGTTCATAGTTAGTGGTCCGTGTCTTGACCCCTAAGCTCCCCTTGTCAGAACCCTTTCACAGCAACTGAGAAACTGTCATGTTATTTTTATCATTTTATTCACAGATTGCAGGCCTTCTTGCAGACAACTGTTAGGTTAGCTCAGCTACATTAGATGTATTTTGGGCCCTTTTTTTTTACCTTTATTAGTCAGCAAAGATGCAGACAGCAAATAGGGTAGATATGATATGCATGCTGGCTGGAATTGAAGCAGTGATGGTTGTTACCATGCACTGTAACCATTAGGCTATAGAAGTGCCACATTGTTACACCGCAACCAGACTCGCGGAGGATGACTGGAATGGAAGTATGCTACAAAGCTGACCAGTGACTGACATTAGAGAGAGTGAAGAGAGGAGAAGAGAGGAGAAGTTAGGAGCTATAAGTTAAGGTAAACAAAAGAAAAGAACAGAAGATTGGGGCTCAATACCAGAAGGTCAAGCAAATAATATGCAAAGAATCCAGACATGCCGAGTCACCCTCCCCTCGCTGCAGAATGGATTACATCCGCTGATGGAAGGTAACAAAATTTGCAAGTTAATGACACAACAGAGCAAGCAAAGAGGGCAAAGTATCTCCTCTTTCATATTCATGTTCCGTTGCTGTCTACTCTCTCTCCTGCACTCCCTTTAGTCTCTCCATCATCACTATAGTTTATGTCTCTCTCCACTAATTATCATTTTATCATTTTCATGTCTCATGTCTCTCTCACATTGGTCCTGGGAGGAGAAAAACAGCCAAATGAACAGTAAAGAGAGAGGGAGAAAGCCATACATATGCCTCTGTGGGCTGTAATTCACAGCTAGCTTTGATCTTAGTTTAGAGGTACTAATGGTGGGGTGTTAGGGAAGGTCTGGTCACCCTTTTATATGTCTTTTTGTGTATTTGTATTTGTGAGTGTGGGTCTGTATAATACTGCTGTATTTGGTCAGTCACCCATGTAGATTACAAGAAAACAGCAACCAGACATTGCTAATGGATGTTCTTTCGGCTCAACTTCCAGAGCTTACGGTATTATGAACATCCCTCTTTGGTATGTAAATGTGTCATACACTTACAAAACATAGCGACAAAGGGTGTTGGTGAAAATATGAGCACTTTCATTCCAAAACATACACAACACAATATATTAAGCACTCCCAAACACCAACTTCCAAATAACTAGTTCTATTGAAGCAGTGCTTACACAACTTTGAAAAACTTGAACAATTGTTTAGGGCTCAGCCAGTTTCCAAAAGAGTCTTATTATCATTCTGGCCTATTGTGGATTGTACTCTAACTAAAACTGTAATTTACATTCAGCAGTTGATTGTATAATCTTTCATTATGACTGAGAATTTGCCCCAAGTCAGGCTCTCTGTAAATTGCAATTACCCCAAATAAAGCACGTGAATCGCATTTACAACAATTTCATGTTCTTCTTCTTCAAAAAGGAGTTTAAAAGCTAGAATATTGTTTTATTAATGTTTTATGACATACAGTCATTTACAGTACCAATGTTAAAGAGATTACATGACTGCACAAGGTGGCCATCAATATGGTTCCCTGGTTTTTACAGTTTACGCAGCTATTGCAACGTGTCAGTGCTTTACTAAGTGACTATTACAGCTAATCATGTCTGTAATGGTGTGGATGTAATAGTACCGGTTTCCTGACTTTCACACTGAGATGGCCTCATAGCCTGAGGTAAAACTTTAGCTTTAAGTAGGCTGAAGCATTTAAACAGCAGAGTGATCCTCTGAAACAGGAGGATTAATGGGGGGGAGTATGAGTGTGTGTATGTGTGCGTATAAAAAATATGATGGCAAACACTCAAATAAGCTCCCAGTTTCCGTCTCCAAATAAAGAATCTGATTAAATTAACAAAACAAAGTGATTACAGAGACCTTTTAAAGGCGGAAAAGCATGCACTTTGAGATGATTTCATGGAGCTGAAATAGAGCTGATTAAAACAGGGAGTGAAGAAATTTTCAGTGGAGCAGTGTACTGTTTTACTTCTAAATGCCTACTGCTTCATATTATTTGCTAACCTTTTACCATTAGTGGTTTAAAACAATTTGATTAATTCATAACTAGATCAGAGAAGGGTCTGTCGGTGTAGTATGAGAAATAACAATGAATTTCAGCTTCTAGTTGCGTTATGTGATGGTCAAATGGACATCATGCGGCCAAGGGCCCCTTAACAATAATGGTATTCTGCCATGTAATCTTCATCTTCAGAGTTGTTCCAATCTGAGTATAAATCCATGTTAAAAAAGAGTCAGTGTCTGTGTGTGTGTGTGTGTGTGTGTGTGTGTGTGTGTGTGTGTGTGTGTGTGTGTGTGTGTGTGTGTGTGTGTATCCCACCTCCTGCAGTGTCCGTCTCAGCCTTAAAAGCAGGGTTTTGACAGCAGTACAGTCCTGCTGCATCAGTCTGAGAGGAAGAGTCTCAAGCCCTGGAGGCAGGGGCTCGTCTTCCCTCCCCAAACCCAGCCCCGAGCTCCAGTCGGCAGGCAGCAGGCTAGTTGGACGGCTGAGCTCCCTGTAGGAGAGGTAGAGTGAAGGGAAGGGAGAGCAATAAAGAGATTTCATGTTAGCATGAGTCATTGTGAAAAGTGGATCATTGACCTGTCTCAACTGCTCCCCACTGGTCTCCACAGGCAGCCAGTGGAATCTTTCTTTGCCATTGGTTGTTACTGAAGATGTAGACAATATATCACACCATAATGTCAAGATGCTGCTTCTGAATTAGTGCTGGGCCAAAACATTTGTATGATGGTATTTTTTAAGTTTTTTATTTGCATGGCTGGGCCTTCATATAGGTTTAAATTTGGCTCATACCACTGCCAGGAGCACATAGAATATAAAAACATTTCAATGGCATTGTGAATATACTGAAGGCTTTGATTACCATTTTCTTGGCCCCAGAAAATGATACAATATATGAAGAATGCATGAAAGAGTTGCAGAATATAAACATTTTTTATTGTGCAAACTGAAACGTAGTAAAAATATGACTTAAAAGTAAAAAAGATAAACCAACATCTTTAATACTGCTTCCTTTTCAAAATAAAATATTTTAAAATAGTTGTATACTATAAACGGACATAAAATACTCAAAGCATTTAAATATTGAAGTGTTTTATATTTTCTATTGCATAAGTAAGGTACACATGGGTGTGCCATTGTGTTTTGTCTATTAAAGAGAGTTAGTTGTGGTTTGCTAATTGTTGTGCTATGAAGTTACAACTGATGGTAAGGCTCCCCTCTCAAAATATGCTGCACAGCTTCCCCCGACCACAGCACTCTTTACATCAAAATCAAAATAGTTGCACATTGAGAGTTACAGAAGCTGATTCAGCTAGGCTGCATATTAAAAATTCATATCATACGGGAAATTAAAACGGATATACCGGTTCATCTGGCATATCGCCCAGCCCTATTCTAAATATCCCAAAAGTTCCCAGAATACTGTGTGATATCACGTGTGACAACAACAAAAAAACATGGTCTGAATAATTATTGGTCAGCATGCGGAACAATTCCAATTAGACGCAACGCAGTTAACAATATCTTCTTCTACAGGCTTTAAACAAAATCTACACAGGGTAAAAAAGTCGCATAGAGACCAAGATATGCAACATTCAGAGTGCATAGCAGCTGCTCCACAGAACTCCCTGAGGACTCAATTTTAATGAGCACTCATTTCTGTAATAAGTCTGTTTTAAGATGATTTAAAACCGACATCAACATCAACGTGATAACACAGTCCAACTCACAAACAAAATAAAAGCACATACAAATGCTTGCATGTGTACAGTAGACCCTTGCACACACTAATGCATTCAAAACTTCAAAGACCATCTTCTAATCCTTCCTCTCACAATCATTATCAACTCAAAAGGATACTTCATTATCAAGAGCTTTGATTCATTATAGCCCATCACAGCTGTGTGATCCTGTATATAAAATAATGGAATACAAATGTGAATTAAAGCTGCAAGTAGCTTTGAGCGGGATCTCGCACTCCACGCAACTCGAGGCGTGTTGCGGCCGCGCCACGTGCAGTCCTAACACATGTGGACCGCAACATAAAAATGTCACGTAAATCAGCTTTAAATCGCCAAGCAGAGCTAACTTCCTGTTGCCAGTAGGTGGCGCTATCACTATGTCTGAATATTGTCATGTAAACGTGTTCAGGGCGGGACTCTTATCAAACGAGAAGTTTCGTTGAGATCAGATAATGTACACTGAAGTTGTGAGGATGTGTTCAGGCTAGGACTGTTACAGAATATGTGAAGTTTAGTGGAGATTGGACATTGAACACCGAAGTTGAGTACTATCCGTTCATGGTGAATGGTCGAAATTCAACACAACGCCACAGGCACGCCATTTGACGGAATGTCGTAAATAGCACAACTTTTAATCATGAATGTCTTTAGATTGCGCTGATTAAATTTGAAGTTGATCCGATAAATTCCCTAGGAGGAGTTCGTTCAAATACAGGCCGACAAATCACAGAAAATAAGCACGGAATTCAAAATGGCTGACTCTGATGCCATGCCACAGACACGCCGTTTGACGGAGTGTCTTAAATAGCACAACCTTTAATCAGCAACATTTTTTGAGCGTACTGACAAATTTTGAAGCAGATCCGATAAATTCCCTAGGAGGAGTTCATTCAAATACAACGCGAAAAGTTCGCCGAAAGTGAAAATCTAAATCAGAATGGCCGACTTCCTGTGGGGTTTGGGGTATGGGTCCAAGAGGCTTTTTTGTACGTCTCGCCATGTTGCACATGCCTACCAAGTTTCGTACATATCGGTGAAACATGGCGCCGGGGCTGCTTTTTTTATCCTGTAGGGGGCGCTACAAACACGACAAACACGATTTTTGGTATGTGAGCTTCAGGCACCAGTCTACACGTGCCCTGTGGATTTCAAATTCATAACAATTACAGTCTTCGACAGTGATTTACACTGCCACCAGAGCGCCACACAGTGGCGTGGTTTTTTTTCCTTTTGAAGTTTCATTTAAATCACACGTGCCGTTGCAGAGATATAAACTTCTTCATTTTAAAGAGCGCCACCTAGTGGCGGTGGCCTGAAGTTGTGCACGGTGCCCAAGGAAGACATGAGGAACTATGGACCCAAGTTTGGTGTCAATAGGACATACCAATGTGGAGAAATGGTCCAATGTACAGGCAGTGTTAATTTTATAGCATGCTTATTTTAAAAAATTTCAAAAATGTTCATTACTTTTTCTGCCAGGGCGGTCCCCGGTAAAATTTCAAGGGCGGTCCCCAGGTGCTGGATACAAGGTTTTTGAATGTGCGACAAACTATGCAGAAGTTATTAGCCTAAACGCACTTTTTATGATAATAGCGCCACCTAGCGGCCGACCTGAAAGAGATGCATAGAATATAACATTTTTCACCAGGCCTGACCACTTATAAACCACCAATAAAATTGAGTTTTCGTATATGTTCAGGGGGGCAAAAACGCAGTCAAAGTGGCCTAAAAATAATAATAATAGGTAAGAAATCGATCAAAAACAATAGGGACCTCCAGTGGTCGCTAGCTCGGTCCCTGAATATACATTCAAAAAAATGTTAACCCGTCCTATTCCTGCTTTTAAATGGAGGTAGTGTTGCGGCAGATGTCAGGTCATCAGGCAGTTTGTTCCAGAGAACAACACCATAGTAAACTAATGTACCTGATTTAGTTTTAATTCTAGGTACATTCAAGAGACACATGCTTGATGATCTGAGGGATCTGATTGGGTTACAGCCAGTGAGGAAGTTGGAAATGCATACCATTAAGGGCTTTGTAAACAAGCAGTAATACTTCATATTAATTATACACTGTACTGTCAGCCAGTGAAGTGTTTTCAGTACAGGTGCAATGTGTCGTACTTCCCTAGTCCCAGTTAGCATGCAGAATGAGCTGGAGACTCGTGTCCTCCTCCTATTTTTCTAGAGATTCCTTAATGTAGTGTTTTGTATTACTGCATGTCCACAAATAATTTTCTATAGAAAGAATGTGTTTGTGCATGCAGCTGGTTGTGCGACTGTCGGGCTGTGTGTGTGTGTGTGAAGGAAACTTCACACAAACCTTTTTAATTTAATTTTTTGATGTTAGATCTCCTGGCCCTTTGACAGATAGAAGAGATGAAATCTCTCCAAGAAAAAAGGCGAGTTCATAAGTCACTGTTTAAGGCCTTATTATTCACAAGCCTCCAAACCAATGTAACTTGCTAGTCCTCTACACAGCTGTGGCAGTTTTGTAGTGATGTGGAGTTGGATTCAGACAACTTGAACACAATCAACAGGGGGAGATCAACCACGGCACTGTTTTAATTAACTGTCCCATTTGAGAACACAGTCCATTAAACAGTAAACAGGCCTCTGAAGCAGAATGTCTTTGGTCTGTGGTGCATGGCCTCTGTTCTTTATCTCACCTTCAACACCTATTTAGTACAGCAGAGGACAGATACTGGGAGGAACTTTCAACAAGAGTCAGGGTTGATCAATGTCACAGCAGTCTTTATCATTCTTTGCCTTCCAGCCAGCACTAAAGCTCAATCGAAGAACCACAACTACAAACACTGACCTTATCTATAAAAACTATATATTCATAGTCATCCATTGCTCGGAGCCCCCTTTACTTGTTCTGTCAGTTTGAGAGTTCAAGTTTAACCCGAAGGATAATATTTAACTGCTTATGATCTAAGACTACTTTATATTCCACGAGACATGAAAACACTCACAAAACAAAGACGGAGCTCTCCATCTGTTTCATAGTTTCAACTGTTTCAAAAGAATTATAATGTTTTAATTCGGTCCATTATATCGCGCCTGGCCACTCAAAATGTCAAATACATTAGGAGAATAAATGCAACAGTTGATAGTTTTGTCTAATTATGAATGTATTGCATGGCTGTATGGCTGCTGTTGTGGTTTGTCATTTTTTATATTTACTATTTGATGATTATGGGGTAGTAAAAGATACTTTCTGAAAAGCCATCTTCATTTTCTACATTCTCATTTTAGCGTTAACATTTATCCGAGGTTAACAGTTGTCCATGGATAGATTTAGAACTCTTTTCACACAACGATAATTATACAGGAAAACTAACTGATCTTTTTCTGTTAATGATGTTCTTGTATACTTGAAGGTGTTATGTATGTGTGTTCTTGATTGCTGATACTACATTGCTGTAGCTATTTCTTGTAACACGCTGCCCGGAGAATACCACTTTTTAAACTTCTGGAGGGTTTTGATGCAATTCTCCTTCACACTCTGTTGTAATTCATACATTGTATTTTTTGTATTAAGTTTTTTATTTGCAAACAAACAAACAATCAAAAAACACACTCTGAAAGGTTAAACATAATTCTACAGAATTAATTATCAATTGGCAACTCATGGGTACAAATATTTGAAAGAAATTAGTTACTTAGAATGATCTGATGTCCAGTTATGTAAAAAATAATCTAATGAAGGCAGTGGTAAGAGTACAGTGAGAAGAGATGAAAGTATC